CTTCCTCTCTCCCTGCCCTCCCTTCCTCTTTACTCTTCCTCCTATCCTCCCTTCTTCTCCTTCCCTCTTCCCACCTTTTCCATACTTCTTTCTCCTCACCCTTTCTCCCTTATCCCTCTTTTTTTAAAAGAGTACCTGCCATATTATCCTGTATTTTGGTTTTGAGGAAAGAGCTTAGTAGATCCTGTTAAGTAAAATGATAGTGGAGACCTTTCTAAAATTCAACCTTAATTTTTTAAGCATGCTGTTTTTAGCCTGACCAGTTAAGGTGGTTCTGAGACGTGGGTATCAGGCTATAAACTTACAGAGAAAAATTTAAAGCACTCGAGGAGATCTGAGCATTTATATAGGATTGGCAGAATCTGGCTTCTCAGGTAACTTAACTTCTCTTTTCTAGCCTTGAAAGGAGTTTTGTTTGCATTAGAGTCTTGAATGAGAGAATTGGACTTGGATGCATCTCGATCTTTCTCTGCCTTTCCTTTTGTGATCCTTATGGTAGCAGGAAATATTACCAAGGTTGCTCTGGTGCACACATCTCTTGAACTTGAGGTAGAGATTTTTTAGAGACCACCTAGAGTACTCAGAGATGACAGAATACTGTCTCAAAGGCCCTCAGTGGAAGACATGCACCACATTTATTTGTTTCATTTTACTGAATTTATAGAATTTTCATCTCTTTTTTGAATGGCTTTGAAATATTCAATAGAGATTTGTAGGCAAAGAGCAAGTTTTAAAAGTACATTTAAAGTAAGCCAATTGTTGCTTTACTCACCAAGATAAACTTTCCTTCAATATAACTGTATTATAACTATCTGTCTTTACTTCAATCTGTCAGGATAACAGCCTATAAACTATATATCTTGATATCTTTTCTCTATTAAGTTTCCACACTTAAAATTTTATCAATTACCAAATGGAAATTGATTTCTTGAACCACTTAGTAGCTTACTTGTGTCTCAGCTGTTGTGTTGTCCTTACTACTTGCAATAGATTGTTCTTTGCTAGAGGAATGGAAAGGACACCTTGATACTATCTTAGCTTTGATATGAAAATATTCTTGTTTAATATGTTAAAAGACAATAATTTCCGGTCTTGGCTTTTAAAAATGAGAATTTTTTTAACTTTCTTTTTCATGATTATTAACTATGCCCAGAGTCTTCATTTTAATTACCACTATGTAGTACTTCAGTTTTCTTACTTGCTTCATTACCTTTTCTGCTTTGGTTTTGAAAATAATTTTAGAGAAATAAAATCAGACCGTTTCCAATACAATGAAATGCTTTCACCATACTATTAATGAATCTTTTCTTCATTACCAACACGCTTGATGTCACGAATCTTTTTAAACACATGAAAAACTATTTAGTCTTGTGATTAGAGCAGACAAAGAGCACAATAAAACTTAGCTTACCTGGTTCATTCCTTTGGTTTTTACTGGCCTCTCTTTATTGGAAATTAGGAGCTATATGGCTGAACTCTTCCTTATAGAAGGACTGTTGTTAGAGAGGGGCTAGGAGATTCCCCGAGGCTCAGATTTTTAATACTTAAATGTAAGGTGTGAAACCATAAAACGATGAGAAGAACACATAGGGAAAAAGCTCCTTGACATTGGTCTTGGCAATGATTCTAAATACTGGCTTGCCAATTTATTTTGTGACTATGGACTTGACATTACTATTTTCTCTGTACATGTAATTCAGTTGAACTAATAGATGCCTGGAGATATTATGTCCAGTTTGTATTAAATAAATGTTTTGTTGTTGTTGTTAGTTTAGCCTTTTTTTTTGCCCCCGCCCCTCCCTGCAATGTTTTGGTCTGTAGTAACTCTGGGCAGAGATCTGAGGGAAATTATATTGTGGCTGGAAATTTTTCCTCTGAAGGTCTTTGTGTGTATGGAAAATCTAAATTGTCATGGCAAAAGGCTTTATCTGTGACTTAATTTAAAAGCCATGTTATCAGTACTATTTTGTAATATTGCATCATTAATTCATAATTACTACTAATATACTAAGGCAGTAGAATCTTCTAAATTCCAGCTGAGCCTGGGTAATATAAAAATAACTGTGGTTTACTAGTCAATTCAAAATTCAAAAGTAGAAATTAAGCTCTCTTCCTAACTTGAAATATGTCCAACAATAACTTTTCATATCTTAACCAAAGTAAAAGACTAAAATATTTGAGCATTATGATGGTGCCTTTAGTGAATCAGTAATCATTTAGGTTTAAGAGATGCCACTTCTTTTAATATGCCATCTTAGAGGCATATTGATTTGAATATACTTTCCAACGTTGATTTATAGGACAGTGAGAGCAAATATAGCTTTCGGTTCTGTTGAGATAGGGTCATTCTTGGAAACTGACAGTTTCAGAGAGTGTTTATTTAAAAAAAAAAAAAACTGAAGAAAAAACTGAATACAGAAAAACCCTGTTTTATCTTGTCTTAATTTCTTGATTCATAAATAGTATGGTGATAGCTTTGCTACAGAATTGTAACTGTAAAAATATTACATAATGCTCAGCTTATATGGGCCCATGATTGAGGCACCTTTTAGCACTAAATACAAAAGATATTGCATTTATCCAGTGTAAAATAATGTCTCTTGAGATTATGAGGATAAATGACATATACCAACCTTGTCATTTAGCCTGATGGTATCTCTAAGAAGGAAGGATGGGTTAGCTGGGAGAGGTTGTGGAGGGAGGTAATTTTTGTCACAATTTTAAATTAACCAATCGAAGCGAAATGACACAACTGAATTGAGAACAGTCTGAATTAGAGAAAATTGTATCTTGTCTTACCGCTCTCTTCCTTGAAGTCTTTCATTGGTTACCTTTCTCATTTCAGAACCAAACATAATGGACTTTTTTTCCCCTTTTCTCCATGTTACCTATGACTTAACAAAGGTTTAAGATATTCTATCTTCAGCTTGTTTTAAGGCACACTAAGAATCATGAATCAAGCTTCATTTCATAAATTCTCCTCTTATTTCTCTTAGGCCTTAGTTCCTGTGCTTGAAGCATTCAGTTTTAATTAAACTCGTAAGAAACACAGATATGTTTTTCTTAAATACAGAAGTGAGTCTTCTTTTAAATTAAAAAAAAAAAAACTGGTTTCAAAACTAAAGGTCAGATGTTTTAATTATTATGTTTCCTCACTTTTTTCCCTTAAAAAATATGAAGACTAATGTAAGATATAATAACAATGGAAGCTGGATGTGAGGTATATTAGATCTCTGTACTATCTTTCCAGTAGTTCTGTGCATCAAAAAACTGTTCTAAAAGAAAAAGTTTATTGAAAAATATATGAAGGACATTTTCTTTTTCATTTATATGAATTTTAGAGCTATTAAATGATGTGCTGTATTTCTTACAAAGCATGAAAAATCTGACAAATATTACTGTTTTTTATTTGCTTTCTTGATAAACTATTGAGTGAATAACAAAGCTTTGGATCTGTTTGAAAATGTTATTTATCCCCAGGATCCTTGTATAATAGTGTACAGAAAGTAAATAATATGAGTCTCCCTGTACCACATAACATCATACCCCTCTGTCCTTCTCAAATCCTTTGTGGCTGTAACAACCAGAGTGAGACTGCTTATTGTCGTAGGAGTCTTCCACGAATTCAGTCTCAAGTGAAAAGAATCGGCAACTCTAGTACTTGATTGGGGAAACTCTTGACCAAATCTTGCTGAATTTTATCTTGTCTCTTGGATTCGTAGAGGTCTGACTCTTCAAAAGGCTCTTGATGGTATAGGTTCTGCTTTGATCTTGAAAGGCCAGCCTGCAGTAGCATATTTAAATCTTGAAAGATAACCTCTTCTGAAAGTAACTGTGTTGCATTTTCCCCTCTCAGCTTTTCCTTCAGAATCATTTTATAACCTCAGTGTCCTAGTTTTTGTTTCTAAGGCTCTACTTGACAAAACAGATAATATCCCTAGGAAATGGTGGTAGATTTGTAGTTTGGCGACAGTTTTATTCAAGGCTTATATAGATCGAGAATTGGTTTACCTTGCTTCTTGGAGGGAAGATTCTGTTCCTGAAGGCACTCATTCTTTCTCTTCCCTTGCAGACAAAACAGCTTGAAAAACTCAGGCTAAGGAGTCCTTGTCAAAACAAATTTTTATTTGAAGAACTAAGATGCCTAGGGATATTTAACAACAGCCCATATAAATTACAGCTGAATTGAAACTTTACAATGGAAAAAAAGGAAATTCTCACATTAGCTAACCCCATTGCACCCATGGGTAGATAATACTAAGTGTTTTAACTACTTGCTGTTCATTTTCTAGTAAAGTATACAAACAGGAAAATAAATCTCCTGATTAAAAACTGGCATATCACATTCTCAAGACAGCTAATTTAGAACATGTTCTACAATATATTATGAAAATTACTAGTAGCTACCATCAAGATTAGGTCTTTTAAAAAGTCCTATGACTGATATTTTGTAATTATTGAACTCAGATATCCTTTTACACGGTGGCTTTACTTCCATAATGAATTTGTTTGTGACATCTAGAACTCTGGATATAGATGGAATTAATAGGTAAATCATCATAATTTTTCCTTTAAGGTGATTTGAGTTTCATCAGGGAAGGTAAGCTCAGAATGCTGAAGTACAGCTGGAAAAACGAACAATTCTGCTTCTTTCATAAAGATTTCAGTGTAAGCAACTTTGAGTTCGGAGATGGTCATACTTGAATATTCTGATAGAGAAGTGAAAAGAGTATTCTTTTAAATGTAACTGCTTAATTTCACATTTGTTTGGTAATGTTTCCAAAGGAACTGCTCTTTTTCACTGCCATCTCCCTAAGTATGTGCATAAATTTTTCAATGAATTCTCTGAAATTCGATTTTTAAAGCTGGATTCTTTGCTTTATAAAACGTACTGGATCAGTCCTGGCTTATTACATGATTTTTGCCCTTGTCACCTATAAAAAGAAATTGGCCCCTCTGTACAGCTTATCTTCACTTTTATTTCTCTTCTTCCCTAACAGAATCCCAAGGACTGCAGCAAAGCCAAGAAGCTAGTGTGTAATATCAACAAAGGCTGTGGCTATGGCTGTCAACTCCATCATGTGGTCTACTGCTTCATGATTGCATATGGCACCCAGCGGACACTTATCTTGGAATCTCAGAATTGGCGCTATGCTACTGGTGGATGGGAAACTGTGTTTAGACCTGTAAGTGAGACCTGCACAGACAGAACTGGTGTCTCCACTGGACACTGGTCAGGTAAGAAGCCCGTGCAGCATGTCAGATCTCTGGGTTGAACTGCTACATAACCAGTTATTTTTAGTGTGCTTCCACATTATTGAACTCATTTGATTTTCTAATTATCCTATAAGTAAGGTAGACCAGGGATTCTCAAACTTCAGCATGCATGGGAATCACCGGGAAGGCTTGTTAAAATGCTAGTTTCAGATTCAGTATGTCTGAGTAGAGCCTGAGAATTTGCATTTCAGACAAAGTTTCCAGGTCCAGGAATCACAGTTGGAGAACCACCGAAGCAGACTATGCAAGTACCTTTATTTTCATTTTATAATTGAGGACAACGAAGTGTAATTTGTTTACAGAGTTTTAAATTTTATTCAGGAAACATTTAATGACAAACAATGTGACTCAAGTGCTATTCTAGGCATTCTAAGAGATATGTAGGTCAGCAAGAAATTTCCCTTCTCAACTAGGATTTGGTGGTAGAGAGAAGAGAATATAGAATTTCTTACTTCTAGTCTATTGTTCTTTCTATAGTGATGATCTTTAAACAAGGTTGAAGTTGTGCTACCTTTGTTAATATGCTGACTTTATCATTTTGTAATCTTGGGCAAGTTACTTAACCCCTAGGCCTTAGTTTCCTCATCAATAAAATGAGAGTAATAATTTACCTTTGAGTTGTTGGTAGGATTGAATGCAATAATATGTGTAATGCACTTAGCACAGTACCTGATAGCTATCATTAATAGCCTTTATTCATTGAGCTAATATACATTGAGTGCCTACAGTGCGGAAGATACTGAACTAAGCTATTAGGTGAAATGCTAAGCAAAATGATATACTGTCTCTGCATTCACATCTTGTGAGAAGTCAAACATTTTTCAAAAGACCGAAGCGTTTTAGTTAATATAATTTCTCATGGGGCTGAGCACCTTTTTTCACAAATTAAAACACTAGATGTGGAATAGGGAGCTGTGTCATTGGCAAAGTAAGTAACTTTGGTTTCTGGGTTTCTTTTTGCCTCCTTTGGAAAATATCAGATAATTCCTGACACTGTTAAGTGTCGGGAAAGTTAATTGGGTAATTTCTATAAAATGCTTTAAGTTGCCACATAAAAGATCCTATATGGATTTAAAGTATTATCTTGTGACGTGAGTTTTGTCTTCATTAGGATGATTTAGAAGCTTTGTTCTATATATATCATCGTATTCTTTTCCTTATAACTCAAATTTATAAGTGAACCTCTTAATCTAGAACCTAGCTGGGCTTTAGTTTTGAGATTACATCTTCCATTGATCTGCTGTGTAGTTTAAAGCTGGTGCAAACAGATTAGGTGTTAAGGTTAGGAAGATACAGGAAAAGCAACTCTGTTAGGCTCACAGCTGCTAACGTTTTCGTTTTGTGGACTTAGTTCAGTTTCAAGCTTCTCTGATTATGGAAGTGTGTAGCCAGAGCAGGGCAAAGTTCTATGTTTCACTGTTTCTAAGGAGAGGCAGCTTTTTGAGTGGTAGTCAGTCAACAGAAAAGTGAAAAGTTGGCCTCGCTGGACTTATTATATTTAGTATACACAGTTTGGCCCTGTCTATATGCTACAACTAGTTATTTGGTTTATTTGGTTTTTAATCCTTCTTTGTACATTTTGTATATGTAGGATATGAAGATTAAAAATGGCTTGAATTGGAAACATTCAGAATTTCTTAATGTTACAATTCAGCAGTTTCTAGAAATCATCCTTCTTTTATTTGTGTGGAATCTAAGGCCTAATAGACATTAAATGATTTATCCAGGATCATACAGCTTATAAATAACAGAACTCTGGTTAGTACATTCACTTCTGCCTACCTCCAGTCTACGTCCTTCCCAGTAAAAACATGCCAAACACCCTACCTAGCAAAAAATGATTAGAGGCACAGAACCTCCTGAATGTCTAGAAACTAAATAAAATGACTAATTTTATTAGCTCTACCCTCTTTTCTCCTGCTATTTTATAACTTTTTCCAGACCTTTCACATAATTTCCAGTACTGAAAAGTTATCAATGGTATTTATAGTCCCTAATTAAAGAAGTCGTTTTATCATGGTAGCACAGAATTAGAATTTTAATTAAATAGATCTTTCCTTTATCACTACAGGTATTGTATAAAAACATATACTTTTCTTCATGCTAGTGAATTGAACTGTGCCTTTTGGACACCTTTAATTAATTAAACTGGTGATTATTTTCGATATGCTTGCAGAACTCATCATAACGAAAATAATTTAGATGCTAATCGTGTAGCTAAAAGAAGGAAGAGATTTATGTTTGAGCTTAGAAAAGTATAGTTGCCAACCACTTCTGTTTCTGTTTATATACATTATCTATGTATGTACCTTTTGGAGAAACTAATCTATTTCTAGAATTAGAAGAAACAGACTGAATTTTAATAAGTTCTTTGACATTAATCTTTTAGTTAGCCATAAATTACCTACATCTGTTATTGTTCTGACTTGTACAAAGAATCTTGGGATATTTCCCTTGGCACCACTGTCATGAAATTATTGTTCATACACACTTGACATGATGTGCCTGCAGGAGGAATTTAGTGATTCTGTTCAAATCTGTCACCAGTACAGGAATTAGTATGCACATCTGATCCTTTCAAAGCTAAATCATATCTTGTTGTAGGTTGAGTTCTATATTTCGTCTTCATTACTTTATGTCGGTATATGAAACCATATCCTTTGTAATAAATAATTTGGTTAAGTGAAGCAAAATATTAAAAATTATGCTTCCAGTTAAAAATAATAATAATCTCCTCGTCATCTAAAGTTGTTGATAAAATGTCAGTTCATTTTTCTATATCACAAGATGTTTCCTAAATCTAAACTAACTGTGTATAATAGGCCTGATTCTTCCAAATAGATTCCTTATCATTCAGAACGGGGATCTTGGTATTTAATGGTTTGAGATATCTTTTA